AGATGATATCTCAAAAAAAAAAAAAAAAAATCTCACTGTGTTGCCCAGGCTAGTCTCAAATTCTGGTCTCAAGCAGTTCTCCTGCCTTGTCTTCCCAAAGTGCTGGGATTACAGGCATGAGCCACCACGTTTGGCTGAGAATAGTTTAAATGCTAGTGTAGAAGGCTTTAAAATGTCACTGGCCTAAATGCATGTCTGTGAGCAGAGAACATATCATGAATAACACAGACCTCTAGAAGAATTATTTTAGGGCCAGGCACAGTGGCTCACGCCTGTAATCTTAACACTTAGGAGGCCAAGGAGGGTGGATTGCCCTGAGCTCACAGGTTTGAGACCAGCTTGAGCAAGAACAAGACCCGATCTCAAAAAAATAGCCAGGCATTGTGGCGGGTGCCTCTAGTCACAGCTACTTAGGAGACTAAGGCAAGAGGATCACTTAAGCCCTAGAGCAGAAGGTCCTCAAACTTTTTAAACAGAGGACTAGTTCACTATCCCTCAGACTGTTGGAGAGCTGGACTGTGGGCCCTGAGACGAGTCGGCTGCTAATAAGCAGGACAGGCAGCGGCAGCAAAAACACCCATTAGGCTGGATGAATGTCCTAGGCGGGCTGCATGTGGCCCACGGGCCGCAGTTTGAGGACACTGGCCCTAGAGTTTGAGGATGCTGTGAGCTGTGACATCCCGGCACTCTACCGAGGGCAACCAATGAAACTCTGTCTCAAAGAATTATTTCAGAATGAGGCCGGGCACAGTGGCTCACACCTGTAATCCTAGAACTCTGGGAGGGGGAGGCAGGTAGATTGCCTGAGCTCAGGAGTTAAAGGCCAGCCAGAACTAGAGTGATACCCCACCTTTCTCTCTCTCTCTCTCTCTTTTTTTTTCCTATTTGAGATAAAGTTTTACTGTGTTGCCCTCGGTAGAGTGCTGTGGTGTCACAGGTCACAACAACCTCCAACTCTTAGGCTTAAGCCAATTCTATTGCCTCAGCCTCCCAAACAGCTGGGACTACAGGTGCCCCCCACAATGCCTGGCTATTTTTTTGTTGTAGTTGTCATTGTTGTTTAGCAGGCCCAGGCTGAGTTCAAACCTTCCAGGCCTGGTGTATGTGGCCAGTGCCCTAACCACTGAACTACAGACACTGAGTCAGCGATACCCCATCTCTAAAAATTCATGGGCGTGTGGCAAGTACCTATAATCCCAGCTACTTGGAAGGAAGGCTGAGGCAAGAGGATCGCTTGAGCACAAGAGTTTTAGGTTGCTATGAGCTAGGCTGAGGTTATGGCACTCTACAGAGGGTGACAGAGTGAGACTGTGTCTCAAAAAAAGAAAAAGAATAGATGCAGATGTTCTGATTTGGTCAGGTAAAACATGACCTTGGTATTAATGGAAAATCTACAGGTCAGGGTTTCAGCCCTCAACATAGGAGTCTGATGAGATTATTTATTTCCCAGGGTGATGTAGGTCTAGTTTTCATATTGCCCTTCTTTGAGATTAATGTTCAGCCTGGTGCAAGGTCCTCACTAACCTGTGGGCTCTGATTCTTTCTATTTGAGTTTTTCTTATCCAAGATCCGGGCCCATGTGGCTACCTGTTCTAAATACCAGAATTACATCATGGAAGGTGTGAAGGCCACCACTAAGGATGTGTCCCTTCAGCCAAGGTAAGTGACTTAATCATTCCCTTAGGTGAAGGTCATCTTTTGATACAGAAAACTTGGGCACTTTGCATTCTTGGGGTTTTAGCTGTATGGGTTTGGGAAAGTAGAGATGACAGTTGTCACACTGGCTAAAGCCGTCAAGTTTTTGGTCAGAGGATATCCAGGAGAAGTTGTTCACCTCAGATGTTAGCTGTGCTATTATTTTTAGGATACTTGACCTGATTCTGAAGTGATAATCAGAATCCTTGTCATAACACACTCAGGGAACTTTGCCCCTTTTGGAGGATGTTACAGTGCTTGAAGCTTCATGCAAAAGTACAGAGAGGGTTGTTTTTTTCCCCTACTTTTCACCTTCTAGGAATGTCCCAAATCGTTATACCTTTCCTTGTCCTTACTGTCCTGAGAAGAACTTTGACCAGGAAGGACTTGTGGAACATTGCAAACTATCCCACAGCAAGGATACCAAATCTGTGGTAAGAGTAACTTTTTGTTCTTTTAACTTAGTCAAACTTAGAGGAAAAGTTACAGGATTAGTATAATAAACTCTTTTGTGCCCTTTACCTAGATTTTGCAAATTATTAACATTTTACCATATTTGCCTAACTATACTGTATACAAGGATTGCCCAGAAAATATCCAGTTATACAGTAAGAAAAATAGTATTAACAGTGGCTAGGTTCTTTCCAGACAGCTCTCATATGTATATATTTTTTGTTGAACCATTTGGGAATAAGGTATAGTTACTGTAACCTTTTAGAACCTAAATACTTCAACATATACCTCCTAGGAACATTTTCTTACAAAATTACACATTTTTTTTAAATATAATTAATCACATTCAAGAAATTTATTTATTTATTTATTTATTTATTTATTTATTGAGACAGAGCCTCAAGCTGTCACCTTGGGTAGGGTGCAGTAGCATCACAGCTCACAGGAACTTCCAACTCCTGGGCTCAAGTGAGTCTCCTGCCTCTGCCTCCCAAGTACCTGGGACCACAGGCGTCCGTCGCAACACCTGGCTATTTTTTGGTTGTGGCCATCATTGTTTGGTGGGCCCGGGTTGGATTCGAACCTGCCACCTTAGGTGTATGTGGCTGGTGCCTTAGCTGCTTGAGCCACAGGCACCGAGCCGCATTCAAGAAATTTAACTTTGAGGCTCTGTGCCCGTAGCACAGTGATTACGGCACCAACCACATCCTCTGAGGCTGGAAGGTTCGAATCCGGCCTGGGCCAGCTAAACAACATTGACAACTATAACCAAAAAATAGCTGGGTGTTGTGGCGGGCACCTATAGTTCCAGCTGCTTGGGAGGCTGAGACAAGAGAATTGCTTAAGCCCAAGAACTGGAGGTTGCTGTGAGCCGTGCTACCACGTCTCTCTCCTGAGGGTGACACAGTGAGACTCTGTCTCAAAAAGATAAAAAATTAGGGCGGTACCTGTGTCTCAAAGAAGTAGGGCACTGGCCCCATATGCTGGAAGTGGCAGGTGGGTTCAAACCTAGCCCCAGCCAAAAACAGCAAAAAAGAAAAAATTTTTAAAAAATTGAATTTCCTATAATCCTAGTACTTGAGAGGCAGGTGGATTGCCTGAGCTCACAGGTTTGAGACCAGCCTGAGCAAGAGTGACACCCTGTCTCTAGCTGAGTATTGTAGCAGGCGCCTTTAGTCCTAGCTACTTGGGAGGCTAAGGCAAGAGAATCTCTTAAGCCCAAGAGTTTGAGGTTGCTGTGAGATATGACACCACGGCGCTCTATGAAGGGTGACAAAGTGCATCACAGTGTGGTGCCTTGACTTGAGCTTTATCCACTACATGTTGTTTCACTTGAAGAGGACGTTAGCAGTGTTTTCTGGCATGCTAATGTCCACAGGAAGGAGTGACCCAGGCCCTGAACTGGTGTGTCAGAACTGTCCTGGAAGAAAGGCAGCCAGACACTGGCCATAGAGGGCTGGTGCCAGCTGGGACATCAAATACCTAAGAGCTTGCTTTGTTTGTTTGAAAGGTTTGTCCGATATGTGCCTCTATGCCCTGGGGAGACCCCAACTACCGCAGCGCCAACTTCATAGAGCACATCCAGCGCCGGCACCAGTTTTCTTATGATACTTTTGTGGTGAGTCCAGAGCCCAGGCTCTGATCTTTCCCCTGGAGGAAAGCATGGCTACTTCAATTTCCTCAAAAGGATTGCTAGGGGCCCTGTTGTTGATCTTTATTGATAATGTGATGGGTTCCCAGTCCCCAGAACAGCAGCTGTGCAGTTTCCATTCATGGGCCAGGTGGGTGTCCAGGGTAGTGTTGAACAAGGTGATCTGGTCATTTATTGAGACAGACATAGCAAACCACGTTCTTTTCCTTCCTGTTCCATGCCCCCACATGATTGTCCACTTTCTCATGGTCTATATAATTTCTACCTGTTACAGAGCTCAGTTTGGGAATCTCAAGTTCAGATGCCCCTGGGGACTAGGCAAGTAATGGAAATGATCCTCATCAGGGCTCACAAGCTGGATGGTGCCTGACTTAGGTTAAGACACTATCACCCCTGCAGATTGTTGCCCTATGGAAATAACATCCCTATACCCAAAGCAGGAAGTGCAAAGTTTCAGAGTTTCTTGTGAAGAAGAAGAGATTGTAATGATTTTAAAAGTAAGTCGGCTCGGCGCCTATAGCTCAACCGGCTAAGGCGCCAGCCACGTACACCTAAGGTGGCAGGTTTGAATCCCCAGCCCGGACCCGCCAAACAACAATGACGGCTGCAACCAAAAAATAGCCAGGCGTTGTGGCGGGCGCCTGTGGTCCCAGCTACTTGGG